TTTCTTGGATGCTCAAATGCAAAAGGGGAAACGTTTCTCGATGCCTTCTTGCCTTGTGATCAAATGCTACTTTTGCTAGTAGTTTGTGGCCACTTAAAAGACAGAGAATAAACCAGGCTCAGTTTATCCCATGGTTGCATTTAGTGGGGGTGTCCACAGACAACAGTACAGCAAAACTGTCAAAATGGTGGCTGTGATAGTTAATCAGAGCTCCTCTGTTTTTTATGTGCAACAGCTTTAGCTTTCACGAGCAGAGGTAGGTTAGTTGTTTTTCTATTAATACATAATCCTTAAAAGGGCTCTCCTGTAGGGAGCCTGCCTTGGTCTAATTCAGACTGGAAATATACCAAAGAAAAATATTTTTCCCCACTGGAAATGGCTATTTGCAACATACAAGAAGGGGATACTTTCCTAAGAGCTCACAATTCAAGAATACCAATGTTAACTTGGATTGCCAACAAAGTTCTGTCTGTAACAAAACAGAACACAAAATAGTTTTCTCCTTTGACCTGGGGCATTTCCAACCAAATTGCCTCTCCCTCCCTCCCTGACTCCTTCCTTCCTTCCTTCCTTTTTTTTAAGCTGCCAGAGGCTCCAGGCAGGGTGGCAACAGGCAGCCAGTGATGGGCAAAGGCTTCCCCTCCCGTCATTGCCTCTGCATGGCTTAGCTCACCTCTCCCAGACACACACACACACACACACACACACACACACACACAAACAGTGTGTGTGTGTGTGTGTGTGTGTGTGTGTGTGTCTCACTCCTTGCAGCCCTGCACCCTCTCTGCCATGGCAGGCTGCAAACTAATGAAAGTTGGGTTTTTTGAGTACTTGTTTCTTTTTCTCAACGTGCTGCCGATTGCATCGTACCTTGCCCCCCTCAGCTCCCGCCCCCAGCCCCGTGGCAGGCTGCAAGAAGCATTCCTCTCCCAGTCTTTTCCTCCCGATGTCAAAGTGTGGGGCTGCAGGAGGTGAGACCCCCCCACACACACTCACACAAACACGTGTACAGGTTCTGGGAGAGGTGAACTGAGAGCCATGGAGCAAGAGGAAACAATAGGGGAAGTGGTCAAAATGGGAAACCTCTGTCTGGAGCCTCTGGCACCTTAAAAAAAATGTGTGGAGCAGTGGCTTCCCTTTCAGTCCACCCTCCCCTCCATTGCCTCCACGCTGGGACTGACTCTACACCTGCCAAAAGGGCAGTTTTGCTTTCGAACCCCCATGCCAGAAACCGAAAACTGCTGCCGTTCATCTGCCATGTCCCCCTGACAGCCCCTGCAAACTCCTATTGCATGCTGGCAGGCAGAATCCTAAAGCTCCCATTCTGTTTCCTCCATGCTCAGGAAGGAAGCTGCCGACTGCAGCTCTCCCACTTGGGGATGGGGCGATCCCAGTGAAAGCATGATGGGTGAGGCTGGGAGGGGTGGGGCGAGGCCGGTTGGGGTGGGGTGGGGTGAGGCAAATGAGCTGCAGCTGCTCCTGCACACCACCAGCCTCCGAGCGCTCACCATTTACTGTGCGTGTGCCGGGAAATCACCCAGCTGGGTTGGGGTGGACCAGGGCTGGGGCAGCAGGGGCCGGTTCCTTGCCATTTCTTGAACAGCTCCAGGGGCCAAATTTGGGCCCTTGGCAGGCCGTATTTGGCCCGCGGGCCTTGTGTTTGACATGTCTACTATAGGGATATACACTGTAGTTTTAAATTTTGCTCTAAGGGAAAAACTATAGGAAACAAGCCACAATACTTCAGCTCATGTAAGATGACAGGCTACTACCAAACAACTATTTTTTTAAACAAAATTTTATTAAGTTTATATAGATGAGGAAAAATAGGAACAATACAGGTATGGTAAAGGGAGGGGGTGGGAGGAAAGGGGAAGGGGAAGGGAATAAAGGATTTAGGGTAAAATAAGGATAGGTACAATCACGTATTTCAACAAACAAGCTACTGTCCAAATTATAATAGTGAGTAAATATCATATTCAACCATTTTTACCGAAGCTTAGACTAAAACATATTAAGAACAATTAGTAAACAAATACGTTAATCTATTAAGTAAACACTACTAATAAAATCTCAAAAAATCCTAACAATAAAAAAAAAATGAAAATCAGTAAGTCAGGAAAAATAATCATATCATCAAAATGTTAGTTAGAACTCGGTTAAAAATCAGTCATCTATTCTAAAATATTGAATCCTTCAAGTTATAACATGTCTCTAACCACTGATAAAATTTTTCCCAAGTTCTAAAATAAATTGAATCATTTTTTTCTTTCATTTCTAATGTTAGTCTATCCATTTCTCACACTCTAAAATTTTAGGGATTATAATCTGGTCAGATGGTAAATTCTCATTTTTCCAAAACTGGGCAAATACTATTCTTGCAGCTGTTAAAACATGCAATATCAAATAGTCATTCTCTTTACCATAATTAGGTCTTAATATTCCTAACAAAAACAATTCCAGTTTAAATTCTATCTGTAGTTTCATCATCTTTTCCAACCATCTATGGATCTTAGACCAATATTTCTTAGCAATAGGACATATCCACCAGACATGGTAGTAAGTGTCTGGCTGTTGTTTACATTTCCAGCAAATATCCGAAACATTTTTAAACATTTTCACTAAGCGAACTGGTGTCATATGCCATCTATAAAACATCTTATATAAGTTTTCTTTATATGCTACCGCTTTTGTAAGCTTAATATTTTTATCCCAAAGCTTTTGCCAGTCTTCCAAATCTATAGAATGTCCAAAGTTCTTTGCCCATACTATCATTGTTTCTTTCACTTGTTCTTCTTCCATCTTCCAGTTTAAAAGAAATTTATAGAGTTTTCTAATCAAATTCTCATCTGTTTTTAACAAAGTTTTATCTAATGGGGTCTGTTCTTTGTAAAAACCTGTCAATTTTATATCTTTTTCGTATCTTGTTTGAATTTGCAAATAGGACCACCATGTCAAGTCAATACCTTGTAGTTGTAAAGTTTTCCCTCTTTGTCCAAAATGTCTTTATAACTAAACAGTTTGTCATAGTTGATCAGATTTGAATAAGCAAATGCTTCTATTGTTGAAAGCTACTCAGGTATTTTCATATATATTTTATGTTTAATTTTCTCCCATTCTGAAAGTAGTAAGTTTCTTATTGCATGATTTTGAAAGTACTTATGTGCTTTAGATTTCTCATACCATATAAAAGCATGCCAACCTAACTGAAGGTCGTGTCCCTCTAAATAAAGCTATCTTTTATTTCTCAATACAATCCATTATTTAAGCAAAATAGCCACTTGATAGTAAAGTCTCCAATCTGGAAGTCCAAAGCCCCCTCTATCCTTAGATTCTTGTAACAATTTACATTTGATTCTCGCTTTCTTTTTTTGCCATATAAATCTTAAAATCATTGCGTTTAAATCATGAAAAAAATTCTTAGTAAGTTTAATGGGCATTGTTTGAAATAGGAAAATTAGCTTTGGTAAAATGTTCATCTTAACCATCGCTATTCTTCCTAGAAGTGATAATTGAAGATTTTCCCATCTTTCCAAGTCTATTTTTATTTGTTTCATTAATCTCTCATAATTATCTTCTTTTAGTGTAGTATATTTTGCAGTTCAATAAATACCCAAATATTTGACTTTTTTAACTATTTGAAGATTTGTCATTTTAGCAAGTTGAATTTTCTGTTTGTCTGTTAAATGTTTTGTTATTACTTTAGTCTTTTCCCTGTTTATTTTCAGACCAGCCACTTCTCCAAATTTCTCATTTTTCTGCAAGAGTTTATCAGCTGTTTGCAATGGCTCCTTTAAAATAAAGACCAAGGCATGCGCAAAAGCCTGTAGTTTATATTTCTGGTCTTTAATCTCCAGACCTTTAATTTTTGTATCTTGTCTAATATTTCTTGCCAGAACCTCTAATGTAAGAATAAACAACAGAGACAACGGGCATCCCTGTCTAGTGCCTTTTTTAATCTCAAATCCATCTGTATAATCTCCATTTAAAAGTATTCTTGCTGACCAAACAACTATTATAGTTTAACCCAACATATGAGCTAAGACGGTGTCCAAATGTAGGACCAGACAACCTCAGGTAAACCTGCTTTGAGTTCCACAAGAAAGCAGGATTTTGTTGGGGGAGTAATAGGAGTAGGAAGGAGTATTAGGTATGTACACCATCTTGAGTTATTTATAGAAAAATATAATACACAAGAAATACACACAGAAAACATAAATCAAGCAGGATAAATAGTGGAGACATTTTCAGGAACATATTTTTTCTAGTAATTAGTTTGGGCCCTCTAACTGGTAGGTTCACTAATCCAGTCTGAAAACTTTGGTATTGTAATATCTTTTATGTGATATAGATAGTCCTCGACTTATAACCACAACTGAGCCCAACGTTCCTGTTGCTAAGCGAAACATTCATTACATGAATTTTGCCCCATTTTACTACCTTTCTTGCTACAGTTGTGGCAACTCATTGGAGTTGTTAAGTTAGTATCCTAGTTATTAAGTGAATCTGGCTTCCCCACTGAATTTGTTTGTAAAGTCACAAAAGATTATCACATCACCCTGGGACACTGCAACGGTCATAAATATGAGTCTGTTGCCAAGCATCTAAATTTGGATCACATGACCACTGAGGGGCTGCAATGGTCGTAAGTGTGAAAAAAGTTCATATGTCAAGTTTTTCAGTGCCATTATAACTTTGAATGGTTACTAAATGAACTGTTGTAAGTCGAGGACTACCTGTAACCCATAAAAGTAAATCATGGCTGGGCATGCTGTCTGAAGGTGACAGCCTTCCACAAATTTGGTTGGCTCTAATGATCCCATACTGTCAACACCTTCTGAAAAATAATCGTCTCAACTCCTCGGGAAGAGAAACCAGATCTACGCTATCCTGCAAGCCAACTGTCCGCGTGCCTCTTTTTTTTCTCGCGCCACCCGCCCCAAACTACCGCGAGACGAAATGTCTCCGTTTCCCCAGACCCGCGCGCAAGCTTAACGTACCTGAAGTTGGACCAGGCGAAATTTAACGCCGCTTGAAAGTGGCCGGACGTTTCGGGTCTCCGCTCGTTCAGGCCGGTTACTTGCCAGATGAGCTCCCGTACCGCTAGGTCTTGCTCTTGGTCGAAACGGCTCCAGTGAGCAGGCGGAATCGTGACCGACGATGCCGTCGCCATCATGGGCCAAGGAAAAGAGAAGAAGCCGGGGGGGGGGGGTGCTGAAGTACTTTCTATTGTCACATTCCGGAAGCTCCGTTTATTTCGGTGGCCACTACCGCTAACATCTCGCGAGATTCTGCTCTTCTGTGGTAGGGAAGCGCTTTGCGTGATGATTTACGTAACGCGCCACTTTTGCCCCCCCACACTCGTTTTTTTCGCCTCTCCCAGTCCTCTATTTCTCAGAAGGCATGCTTGAGGAGCGGATCTATAATTTTGCATTGTGGTTTTTGTTGTTTATTTTGTACTTGATATTCATTTTCTGTAATTGCTTATGAAACTTTATCTTCGTGTCTGGTTGACAATTGAATAGTAATTAGAAATTGAATAGTAATTAGAAATATAGAAACCATCCCCAGCACCTAGGCTACCTTGATCCAGAAGCTAACTAGGGTCGGCATCCTTGAATAGAATGGAATAGAAATAGAGCTGGAAGGGATCTTGGAGGTCTTCTAGTCCAGCCCCTTGCTCAAGCAAGAGAACCTATACCATTTCAGGTTAATGTGTAATCTCTTCTTTAAAATATCCATTTCTGGGGGTAAACTATTCCACTGATTGATTGTTCTCATTGTCAGGAAGTTTCTCCTTAATTCCAGGTTGCTTCTCTTTTTTATCAGTTTCCAACCATTGTTTCTCGTCCTTCCCTCTGATGCTTTGGTGAACAACCTGGCCCCCTCTGCCTTCTGGCAGCCCCTCAAATACTGGAACACTGCTATCATGTCTCCCCTATTTCTTCTTTTCTTTAGACTAGCCAAACCCAAGCCATGCAGCCATTCTTTGTATATTTTTGTCTCCAGGCCTTTGATCATCTTTGTTGCTCTTCAGACTGAGAAAACTAGAATAGGTTGGTCATGTTTTTAATCCTTTGCATGTTTACTGTAGATTGTTCCGCAACTGATTATCTTCATGGGAGGAAGAGATTATATTCAATTTTGAGTTTCATTTTTGAAGTGTGCAATTGTGCAGGGATGCAAATGTCATATTGTAATAAAAATGTGATGTACATTGGCATATACAATATTCTTAATAATTGCCAGCTCAGATTTCACTAATCAGGAAAGGAGGTTTAGCATTACAGTGAATAGATTAATGAGAATGTCTTTGCATTGGGTTTTTTTTAAGACAAATTTTATGCTTGAAATGAATAAAGGAATTAAAAATAGAAATAAGTTAAATAGCGAACCAGTGGCTAAATATTGGTCCAGCACTAGGAGATCTAAATTATACTCCCTTTACAACAGAAATTGTGTAACTTGAGCCAGTCATTTTCTTAACCCAACTTACCTTACAGAGTTGTAGAGAGGAAATAGGAGGAGTATATGCTATATAAAATGTTGAGATACAAATCATATAAATAAGTAGTATTGTGTATAGTTCTGGTGTCCACATTTGAAAAATAATAATTGTAAAATTGGAAATGCAAAAGGGGATAGTCCAGTTCTAGGGAAAAAATAAATATTAGAGCCTTTTAGATTGAAGAAGCTAGAGAAGAAAGGTACTAATTCAAACAATGGTGTGAAAAGTATAGTAAAGTCAGTGGGGAACCCAGATTCACTTACCAACCATGTTACTAACTGCAGTGATTCACTTAACAAGAATGGCAAGAAAGGTGGTAAAATGGGGCAAAATTCATTTAACTGTCTCACATAGCAGCAGAAATGTTGGGCTCAATTGTGGTTGTAAGTCAAGGACTACCTATACAAAATATGAACTGGACAAATGTATGGGCTGAGTGTAAGGAACTAGTTCAATCCACATCTTAAGAAAAGCAGAACTCTTGGAACTGGTTTCTTCCAACAGGAACTTTTATTAAGAAAAATTGATAGTAGGCATGATAGACAGGATCTGAAGGATTCCCTCACAAATCGATGTTTTAAAGTGTCCCTAAGTGACCCCCATCCGGCAGTTCTTCCGAGCGATTCAGACCGGCAGATTTCTAGGTGTTAAATCCAGGAAAGATAACATCAATCCGGCTCCGTTGTACACGATCATGCAACAGCTCCTCACTTGAGGATGGATAAATAAACCAGACTCCGGAGGCTGTATCTTTTCAATCCCCCCCTTTCCTTGTTGCCCGGTAAGGAGGAAAAGTTCAGAGGTACATCGGATAAGAGGCAAATGGTTACATTGTAATGGTTAGCAGAGGCAAATAAACAAAAGGTTACTTTGTAGTGAATAGAGGAAGTGAAAGTAATAAAAAAACCCTCCCCCTTGGGAGTATGGTAGGACCCAGGAAAGGGTAAGAATTGGTTTTAGATCAGAGGAGATAGAAAGGAAATATAACTGGATTCTGACATCCTGCCCCCCCCCTTAAAAATAAGAGAGATCCGCCTGTAGAGAAAACAAAACAGGTATAAAAGTTAGTCTGGCTTGTTAAGATATTCTGTATGAAACTTCTTTAACAGTTTTGGGGCTCTTACATGACATTTATGGACCCACTCGTTTTGTGAGGAGGGGAGGTGTTTCCATACTACTAGGTATTGAGTTGTCCCATGATATCTCCTAGAGTCTAGGATTTCCTTTATTTGAAAGGTTCTCCTTCCACCATGATTGGAGGTGGTGGTGGGGATTTTTGGCCGTAAGGGTGACTGTTGTTCTCTTTTAAGTAAACTTCAATGAAAGATTGGGTGTATTTGCCTGAGATTTCTGGGTAATTCTAATTCTACTGTTACTGGGTTTATGATTCTTTTAATTGGAAAAGGTCCTATATATTTTGGTCCAAGTTTTTTACAAGGTTGTAGGGATTTTAGGTATTTGTAGACAAATATACCATTTCTCCTACAATTAATGGTGTGGGTTCAACTCTTTTTTTATCTACTTGTGCTTTGTATGCTTGCCTAGCTTCGTCTAAGGCTTTTCTATCTATTGGCCAGGTGTTTTGTAATTGTTCTATCCACTCTTTCAGTGACGGGATTGCTGGTTCGTTTGGGATTAATTCTGGCATGGGGTTGAAACTTTGACCATTGGCTATTTGGAAGAAGTGTAGCCTGTGCTGGAATGGACTGCGTTATTGTAAGCAGTAAGCAGGGGAGTAGCTCCATCCAATTCGACTGCTGGAAATTAATGAAGCATCTTAAGTATTGCTCAAGTACTGAGTTAGCTTTCTCTGATTGGCCGTTCCCTGGAGGAGGAGGATTAGATGTCAGTCCCTGAGTGGTCCCTAAAAGGAATAAAAATTCCTTCCAAAATGCAGACGTAAATTGCACTCGCCTATCAGATATAATGCGCTTGGGTGCCCCATGCAATCTGTAAATATGCTGCACGAAACGTTTCACTAAGATTTTTGCAGTGGGAATCTTTTGGCAAGGGATAAAGTGCACCTGTTTAGAAAACAAGTCTGGATCGTCCAGATGACAGTATTCCCATTGCTTTCTGGTAATTCCACTATAAAATCCATGGCTATTTCCCTCCAGGGGGCTGAGGGAGTCGCCACTGGTTGTAACAGTCCGGGCGATTTCCCTTGAAATCTCTTGGCAGTCGCACATGTTGGGCAGCTGGCCACGTATTTTTCTATGTCCTTTTTCATGGATGGCCACCAAAATTGCCTTTTAATTAAGTGTAATGTTTTTACAAATCCAAAATGCCCTGCTGATTTTGTGTCATGGCACAACTGCATGAATGTGCCCCTCTGGGTGGTTGGTATATATAGTTTTTCCCCCACTCAAGGCAATCCGTCTTTAATTGTGCACACGTATCTATTTTTCTGGAACCATTCATCTGTTTCCAAAGTTTTCCAGGATTCAATTCTAGCTGCGCTACCCAGCTGTGGTTTTAATTTAGCCTGGGCTCTGGTAGTTATTGGCGCTGCCAGTTATGGTTCTACCATAAGTGGCTTAGAATCGTTGGCTCGCGTGCATCTGCCAAGAAGTTCTTCTCCCCCCCCCCCCGGCAAGTGCTTCAGCGCAAAGTGGAATTGGTGAAAATGCTGGGACCAGCAGGCTTGCTTGGGGTTGAGCTTCCTGGGTGTTTTCAAGGCTTCCAGGTTTTTCTGCTCTGTCCACACCTGAAAAGGGATTTTATTCCCTTCAAGGAACTGGCACCAACTAAGTAATGACCAACGTATCCTGTATGCCTCTTTCTTCCACAGAGGCCAGTGCTGTTCCATTTCTTGGACGTATACGTGCAGGGTTGCAATACCCCTTCATCATTTTCTTGTAATAGTACAGCCCCCACTGCCATATTACTTGCATCCATCTGTATTACGAAGGGTTTATCCATGTCTGGATGCCTCAGTATGGGTTCGGCAGAAAAGAGTCTCTTTAATCTCTCAAACGCTGCTTGCCATTCCATTGTCTATTTTAGTGGCTGGCTAGGTTTCAGTGAGGATTCTCCCTTTGTTTTTAGTAAGTTCGTGAAGGGCAGGGCTATCTGGGCAAATGAGGGAATGAATTGGAGGTAAAAGTTTGCGAAACCCAGGAAACTTTGCAGCTACTTTCTAGTGCGAGGTGGTGCCCATTCTAATGCTGCTCTGACTTTCTCTGGGTCCATTTCAATGCCCTGTGGGGATATACAATAACCCAGGTAGTCTATTCTTTCCTGGTGGAATTCGCATTTCGATAATTTGGCATATAGGTGGGCAGCTTGCAGTTTCTTTAAAACCTCTCTGACTAGGTTGACATGTTCCTCTTTGGATTTGGTGAAGATAAGGATGTCATCTAAGTAAACCAGAACCCCTTAAATAGGTGCTCCCTTAGTACCTTGTTAATTAATTGCATAAATACTGCGGGGGCCCCTTTTACTCCAAATGGCAAAACTTTGAATTGGTAGCACCCCATTGGGCAATTAAATGCAGTTTTCCATTCATCCCCTTCCTTAATTCTAACACAGTAATACGCTTCCCTTAGATCTAGTTGAGTGAAAATTCTTCCTTTCGAGAGGTGGGATAACATGTCCTTCATGGGGGGATAGGGGGTATAGGTTGCTTTCACTGATTGCATTCAATAGACGGTAATCCACGCACAAAAGTAAAGTGCCGTCCTTCTTCTCTCTAAAGAGGACCGGGGCAGCCACTTTAGGCTTGGCAGGTTCGATGAATCCCCTTTCTAGGTTTTTATTTATGAATTTTTCCATTTCCTCCTCTTTAGGGCTCATGGAGTATAGTCTGGGCTTCGGGAGTTTTGCCCCGGGCTTGAATTCTATGGCGCAATCCATGGGTCGGTGAGGGGGGAGCTCATCTGCCCTCTCCTCACTGAAAACGTCAGCAAGATCTCGGTATTCCTCTGGTATTTCAGGTAGCCCCTTTTCTTCTCCCATAAATGCTTTTTCTGTTCCTAATTTCGATAGATCCCCTTGGAGGTTTAAGTCCGTAGGCTCCCCCTTCGGGAACTTGATTTCTGCCGTCCTCCAATTTACCCAGGGGTTCCATTTCTTTAACCATTCCAGCCCTAAGATCATTGGGCATTCCATGCCTGGGGTCACTACAAACATTATGTCTTCTGCATGGTTTCCCAGGGATAGGTGGACTGGTAAAGTGGCTAGGGTAGCTGGCACCCCCCTGCTATGGACCCATCTAACTGGCCAAATGAGATTGGTTGTTTTAGCCTTCTCACCGGAATGCCCAAATTTCCCACTAGCGTCAGGCTAATGAGGCAGCGGGTACAGCCAGAATCTATTAAGGCTTTCACTTTGACAGCTTCGGGCATGGAGGGAACTAATATAGTCACTGTCTTGAGGATGGGTGCAATAGGTCCACTTACCAGGGGTTTGCCCTTTGAACTGTCGTCTGAGGTGTCCACCGGTCCTGCAGTGTAGGCTGGAGTTCCCTCCCCATGTTGGGCAGAGCTTGAGGACTCCGCAGCCTCTATTGCTCTCATGGTGGGTTCTTTTGGCTTGGTTGGGGACTTTCCGGATTTCCTGGTCGATGATCAGTCTGGGTTGTGCTGAGGGGCTTTCAAGCGGCATTCTATGGCCCGATGCCCCTCTCTCCTGCATTTGAAACAGCCCGTTGGCTTCTTGGCCATAGCCGGTGGTTTCACTGGCTTGCGCATCGGCTCAGGCGACGAGCGACCCCATGATTTTCCTCGGCAGTGCCTCTTCAGTAGGTCGATCTCTGCTTCCTCTGCCAGGACATACCATTTGTTGAGTTGGTAGAGGTCGCCCTGGGGCAGGCAAGCATCATACAGGTCGTAATTTAGGCCGTCTTTAAAATGGCTAAGGAGGATGTCTTCCGGCCAGTTCAGCTTGCTGGCAATGGCCTGGAATTCTTGCGTATATTCGGCTACCGGGCATCTGCCTTGCCTTACCGTTTTGATTCTTTCGTGGGCTTTGCGATCAGCCAGGGGGTCCTCAAATCGCCTTCTCAGGACATGAAAGGGTTGAAGTCGTTGAGCTGTGGGGCATTGGAGTCGTGCAAGTTCACCACCCAATCTGCGGGTGGTCCGTCCAGAGCGGATTGCATGATACAGATATGGGCTTTGTCGCTAGGGATGTGCCGCCTGTATTTCTCCATGTAGCTGAGGACTTGGGTTAGGAAAAACCTCAAGCATGTCAGTTCCCCCTTGAATTTCACATCCAGCGGCAGGAGTCTTTGAATGGATCAGTGCCTTTGCTGTCGGTGGTATTGTCTTCCATCCGGATTGCCATCTGCGGGTCGGGGAGTGCGGGTTGCTGAAATGGTCGCTACTGGATCAGCAGACATCCCCGGGACTACAGGTTTCAATTCCCCCTCAGGTCTTTCCAGCTGCAGGTGCTAGTGCGGCCATGGGGCTCAGAATTCTCCTCCCCTAGAGAGCCGAGGGTTCTTTTCATCAGGTCAATAGCTTTCTCTAGGATCCAGTTCGAGTGCTGTGCCCAACTTCCTTCCTCTTCACTAAGGTGCAGAGATTTCTCCATCTCCTGCTTCCATTCTGGTTGGTGGGGGCCCTGTCTCAGGGTCACCTTTCTTGCCTTTCTTTCCAACGCCCATTGACCACCGAGGTTTGTGGTTATGCATCTCTACCACCTCTTCTCCTGAGGAGTATGACATTTCAGATCTCGGCAGCTGGCAGGTTTTCGGTTGGGGGAAAGGCTCCCTCTCCGTGGGGTTTTCTTCATTCCTTGCCTCGTTGTCTGACATTGTATTTTTTGCAAAGTCCCCCGGCAAGGTTCTTCTTTCCAGGTTGACTATTACTACAGATCCTGCCTAATGTAAGGAACCACTTCAATCCACATCTTAAGAAAGTAGAACTCTTGGATCCGGTTTCTTCCAACAGGAACTTTTATTAAGAGAAATTGATAGTAGGCATGATAGACAGGATCTGAGGGATTCCTTCACAAATCGATGTTTTAAAGTGTCCCTAATCAACCTCCAGGTGATTCAGACCGGGAGATTTCTAGGTGTTAAATCCAGGAAAGATAACATCAATCCGGCTCCGTTGTACATGATCATTCAACAACTCCTCACTTGATGGTTGATAAATAAACCAGATTCCGGAGGCTGTATCTTTTCTTTTTTTTAACAAATATTTTATTGAGTTTTTTAAGGGTAACAAGGGAACAGGGTCAACAAAGGTAAAACAAAGGGAGACATACAAAAGGGTTAAACCAAAGGAAGGGGGTAAACACAAAAGTGGGATCAATCCCACAAAATAACATCGCTTCAGCAAGTAAACCCGTCCAAGTATACATATTAAATCTTAATGATTACTCTAGTATTAAACAGCTTTCAATATAGTCATGTAAATAACAAGTTAATATATCTCATTCATTTTACTAATTAACAATGCTTAATACTAATTTGTTGTAATAACTTTAAAATAGTAATATATTACTTATTGGTTAAATTTACTATATATCACAAATATGAAAAAAGAAAAAGACAAGTTCATACAAATGATCATGAAATATAAATACAAATTATCAATTATCTCTTTAAGTTTCATAACCTTTTTTCATTCTATCGTATTGCTAACCATTGGTAAAATTTTTCCCATGTTTTAAAATAAATTGTATCTTCTTTCTCTTTCATTTCTAAAGTTAATCTATCCATTTCTGCACATTCAAGTATTTTTGTTATTATAATCTGATCAGATGATAAATTTTCATTTTTCCAAAATTGGGCAAATGTTATCCTCGCAGCTGTTAACACATGTAATATTAAATATTCATTCTCTGTATTTTTTCAACTCCTCCCCTTTCCTAGTTGCCCTGTAAGGAAGAAAAGTTCAGAGGTGCATAGGATAAGAGGCAAATGGTTACATTGTAATGGTTAGCAGAGGCAAATAAACAAAATGTTACTTTGTAGTGAATAGAGGAAGTGAACGTAATAAAAAACCCTCCCCCTTGGGAGTATGGCAGGACCCAGGAAAGGGTAAGAATTGGTTTTAGATCAGAGGAGATAGATGGAAAGGAAATATAACTGGATCCTGACACTGAGATAGATTTCATCACTAAACAGCATCTTTAATGCCCACTTGTCAGTCTCTGGGTTTCTTTGTAGTTTTAGAGGTGGAACATTTGGTGCTGGGGCTGGTTCTGTGCTGAGGTCGAATATGTTTAACAGGTTTAACATGCGTCCAATGTATCCAAGCATCATTTTCAGCTACTTTCACTGTTATTTAGGTCGTGAGGAGGAACTGGAACGGCCCCTTCCACTTAGGTAATAATGGTGATTTCCTGACGAATGACTTGATCCAGATCCAGTCTCCCATCTCGAAGGGATGGAGGTTTTCCTTGAATGGCAAGGTCTGGGTCAAGGCACTACAGTCTGCAGAGCTGTTGGTGTAAGGCTGAGAGATGTGATGGTAAGACCACCTCCCCCTTTCCTGATTAAGAGAGTGAGGGTCTAATCCCTTCAGGGTATCTGGTGGGCGACCAAAGAGCAATTCAAAAGGAGAAATGCCCAAATCTTGCTGGGGCCCGTTCCTAATGTGGAACAAGGCTGTGGGTAGAACCTGGGGCCGTGGTACGTTGTTTCTTAACATAGTTTGGCCAAAAAGGTCTTGAGTTCCCTGTTTTTTTTCATTCCAACCCAACACAGTGCCAGGGGGTGGGAAGGTTTTGGGTGGCCCTAAGCACCTGAGGAACATATGTGATGACTTGTGACACAAAATGTGTCTCTGTCCATGTCCAAGGCACTTGGTACTCCAAACCTGGGCACTATATCTTTTAACAGGTGCCATGCTGTTTTCAGAGCAGTGGCATGGTGACAGGGAAAAGCCTCCACCCAGCGAGTGAGCTGGTCTCTGCAGACCAAGGCATATTGGAAACCGGTTGCCCTGGGTAAGTGAATAAATTCTAGTTGGAGCTTTTTAAAGGGACATTGTGCCCATAGCCTTCCTCCCTCAGGGATTGCTTTCCTGGATGAAGCATTGTTGGCTTGGCAGGTCTGGCAGCACATGGCTACCAGTGCAGCCTTGCTATATGCTCCAGATGCATACAGATCCATCTGGTTGCATCTACAATAGCCTGAACCCCACAGTGACCCTTAGAATGCAATTGTTGACACATGAGTCTTTGGAGTCGACAGGCGGCAATGGGTCTCCCGTCCAGGACTCGCCAGAACCCTTCCTGAAAAATTGCTTCATATTTTTCTACCCATAATTCTGCCTTCCCCGTCTTTAAGAAATCTTGGTAGGGAATCTTGGTATATGCTTTTATTGTGGGGGCAACCAAGGGTGTTGGTTTGGGTTAAGGTTAGGGCTTCCTGTTCCGGTTCGCGGCGCTAGTGGAGGCTTGGGGAGAGTCTCCTCTCCGCCGTCCAGTTTTCCTTCGCTGAAAGACCCTGGAAAGGGTCGAAAGTCACCCTGGAGGGGCGACCACCATTGAGGAGGACCCTTACCTGAGCGTGGAAGGGCGGCAGCCTTCCCGCTTGAGCTGAGGCAGCTCCTTTGGATCAACGAAGAAAAGAACGGCCATTAACATGGCCGATCACTTAGCTGCACGAGCCGAAATCCAAAAGCACTATTAAGCACAATGAAGCACTGTGGAAGATCTGGGTGAGACCCTTCCTTTCCTCTCTTCTACCCTAACTACCTTCCTGTGAAAGCCTCTGAAATTTCCCCACCTGCTCTTAATATAGTGGCATTTATATACCTTGGGAATTTGAACTTTGGAAAGTAAAGAAAAGAATAACTAATTTTTATAACCAAATAACTGGATTTCTATTTTTTGGATACTTTGGGGTCCTAAAAGTTCCTATTATAGAGACTGAGCATTTTATCTATCCACTAACTTTGAAAAATACCCTCTTGTTTTTTTTTCTTAAGTGCATAAAAGCATAATTGCTGTTTTGGAAAAAAAGTTATAACCTACTGAGGACATCTTGTGGCGAAACCTGGCACAACAACTGAATTTTTCTGACTGTGAAGCTTGTTGGCTCTCTTGATTTGTCCTTCACATTATCAAAAAAGATAAGAATTGGAAACAGCTGGGCGGTGAAAACAACTTCTAGAAATTGTGGAGGTGGACATTGGCTGACTCTTTCTAAACATAGCCTCCATAAAAGATTATCTTTAACTACCATAGAAATGGAGGAATTCTACCCACAACTTAACTATAAACTTATACTTGAAAAAATTCTTGAAGCCACTGAGCTAATAAATTCCAGAGTAAAAGCCAAAGATGTTATCCCCAAACTACAAAGTGAACTTCAGACTCCAAATGATCAAATTCTAAATAAAAAAACAATAGAAGAGGAACAACCCATTACTAAAGACGATTTTGTGCAACAATATATACAACCTATTGAGAACCTTGATGACCAAATATTGACTTTAACCAAAGTACCTGCAACTCTCAAAGCAACAAGAACTGAACAACAACTACAATATACTGAGAACTTTGACAATCTAGATAAGCAAATAACAATGACAACACTGGATATGACTTTTTACTTTACTCAGAGCAAACTGGAAGAAGGAGGAGGAGAAGGAGAAGAAGAAGAGGAGGAGGAGAAGAAGAAGAGGAGGAGGAGAAGAAGAAGAAAAAGGAGGAGGAGGAGAAGGAGGAGGAGGAGGAGAAGAAGAAGGAGGAGGAGGAGGAGAAGGAGAAGGAGAAGAAGAAGGAGGAGGAGGAGGAGAAGAAGAAGAAGGAGGAGGAGAAGAAGAGGAGGAGGAGAAGAAGAGGAGAAGAAGAAGAAAAAGGAGGAGGAGAAGAAGAAGAAAAAGGAGGAGGAGGAGAAGGAGAAGAAGAAGAAGAAGAAGACAGACCAAATATGGAGACTTGACTGACCAAATATGGAGACTTGACTGATTAGGGCAGCAACCTAATAACTATAAAAGGGCCAGTTCCTTTGAAAAAAAGAAAGCCACAGGTAGATTTAAAAGTGTGTTTTGAAATTTCACCTAATGGGTTAAGAAGGGTTTTATAGATATTGATTGATTTAATATTTAGTATTTAGATTTATAATGGAAATGAAAATTAACTCTTAGATTATTGTGTTGAATTGTTACATGGAAATGGCTGAGGGCTTTTAATAGTTTGGAGAATAAGGCTACGGCTGAGGGCTTTTAATAGTTTGGAGAATAAGGCAGCATGGGCAATTGGATATCCGATTGAGATCAGGAATCCCTGCTGCTTCCACAGAGCTCCCAGTCATGTGGCAAACCCCAAAAGTGTATCTCGAGTCCGTATATATGTTGGCAGACATATTCAGTGGCTTGAGTACTGTAAGAAGGCAATAGTGGAGAGGTCCAAACAATCTCATGGAGGGAAACAACTGCTGCACTGGTGACTCAGATCCTATCACATAGGTAGGATGACCGATCAGTGAAAAGTTCTAGGTCCGAGTTCTGCAAGGGTACATCTGTTAGGTTGGGTCATGGAAGCTCGACATCCTGGATGAGGTGCAGGCAGTCATGCAGGATGGTGCCCAAGTGTTCCATTGGCTGTCAGTTGTGAAAAGCTCAGCCTCGTATGGCCCCAGCTGCTGCTGAATAAATGCCTGACTTTGGGATTTTAAAAGAGTTGTGAATACATTGTGTGGGACCTTTAGTGTTATGGAATGGCTGAGGACAATGTCCTTTGATTGCTTGACAATCTCCACAGTTGCAGCCACCACTCACAAGCAAGGGACGGTCCCCGGGCTACCAGGTCCAACTGGATCGAGTAGCCTCTTCCCTTTCACTCCCCTCCCAAACTGGACTGCCATGCTAGGAAGAATGTGCCTTACCCAGTCCCCTCTGCTGTTTTGGAGCCAGGGGGAGTGATGGTAAAAAGCTTTGACCCCACTGCACAACAGCCCGTCTGCCACTGGAGGGGTTTTCTTTGCCCCACAGGTCACCTGCCCAGTGGCAGTCACCACCTTCTTCTCCTCCACCAACTCTCCTGTGGCTTGCACATGACTGGGAGCGCAAACCTCCCCTGCCATCTTCCTTCTCTAGCCCTGGTATCCATCTGCCAGCCCTCTGTTGCTGCCAGTGCAGTTTTTTGCTGCACTTTCTTGCCCCCCTGCATTGGCCCATGTCTCCCTTCTCCATTCTAGAAATGGCAGCCTCATTTTCTGCACTTTCCTCCTGGCAGAAGGGAAGAAAGGAAGGATGCTTTGTATGGAAGGATGCTAAGCTCTGGGAAAACTATGCCAGCTGGATCTAGGAGAGGAAGGCCAGGGTCCCTGCGGGAAGTGGATCCGCTCCTCAAGGGCTTTGTAGAACCATTGGGAAAAGGGAGCCTGGTATTCCTCGCCCAGCTCGAACTGGCGTAGTTTTCCTGGAGCTTACTGTAGCATCCTTCCATACAAAGCGCTCTTCCTTTCCTCCCTTCTGCCAGGAGGAAAATGGCAGAAAATGGGGCTGCCATTTCCAGAAGGGAGAAGGGAGATGTGGGCCGATGCAGGGCAGTAAGAAAGTGCAGACCAGCAGTCGCTGCGTGAAGGAAGGAAGGAAGGAAGGAAGGAAGGAAGGAAGGAAGGAAGGAAGGAAGGAAGGAAGGAAGGAAGGAGATTGGAATAAGAGAGGGAGGGTCTGAGGGAAGTCCTGCCTTAGCACTTGGCCACCAGCAGCCCTGTTGCCCTTTCGCCATCCCCTGGTGGTCTCCCATCTTATTGCCGAGGATGATTTGGTTACAAAGCCAGGTCTCCTCACATGGAGAGGGAGTGGGCCTCCCTTTGACCCATGCACTTTGTCCTCCTGCACCCACCCTGAGCAACCTGGTCAAGGAGAGGGAGCACAGCAGCAGCCTTGAGTAGGATGTAAGCGCAGGTGGACGTCCCCTTGGGGAAATGCGGCTAGGCTAGGCAGGGCTGTGGGGTCCTAGTGCCATGGGAGCTCCAGGGCCGGGCTGAGTGCTTGACCTCCGCTGCCCAGGGCTCCGGGCAGTCCGTGCCACCATCCAGGGGCCCCTTGCTGAGCCTGAGGCTTAGTGAGCTCCTCCAATGGACCATGCCCCGGCGCTCACCCCAGTCCCACCCCACCTTCTGCCGGAGACCCTTGGATCACCCCAGTCCTGCCCAGGCCCGCACAGGGGCCCCCGATGTGAGTGACGTTGAGCTGGCCACGTCCCACCCAGTAGGTCACGCCCATGCCAGCCACGCCCACCCAGCCTCCCAATGGCAACCACAATGCTGATGCGGCCCTCAATGAAATTGAGTTTGACACCCCTGCTATAGGTTAACAGCTGTTTGTTGTCTCTGAACCAGGGATCGGACTTCACTTTGGTTCTGAATTTCTGGATCAATTCGCTGTCAGAACTGATGGTTTGCTTTCAAGTTTTTTTTTGTAAAAAAGTTTTATTGTTTTTTTCCATTTTTTACAAAAGCTTAGGACACAACGTGGTGGTCAGGGCGACAAATCATTCGAAAACAAAATCATATAAGTATAGCTCCGATTAATTATCAAAAATTTCCTCTCTATTTCCTAAATATAATGTTGCTTATTAAAATTAATAGAGTTTTAGGTAAAATTCAGTCAAGCAAAAATCATCAATCACATTGCTATTATAATAATCTATATCCTGATTTTAAACTTTACTAATTACACTTCTCATACTCCAATTATGTTTTAATGAACATATAGTTGGGATTTCAGGTATCCTTAATGATAAATCATTGAGACTAATTTTTTTCCTATCACAAATAGCTCTTCCTCTCTCTCTATTATAACACGGTTATCATATTTAAAATAATAATATAACTCCAACAAATACAATTCTATTTTTAAAAATATATTCTGTCATTTTATCAATCTATATCTGTAAAAAATCTTTCTAACCCCTTTAATAAAGTTTAGACCTTCAAATACTTTCAACTATAATATCAGAAAATTCTCATCCATTCATTATTAAATCAGACAAAATCTCTCTCTCTATTACAGCATAATTATCATGTTTAAAATAATAATGTAAGTCCAACAAATACACTTCTATTTTTAAAAATATATTCTATAATTTCGTCAATCTACAAAATCTTTTTAACCCCTAATAAAGGTTACTCCTAATAAAGTTTACTCCTTCAGCTATGTTAACAGTAAATTCACATCCTTCATTCATTATTAAATCAGATAAAATCTCTAGAGCCTTTTTAACCCATCAAGTAACATTTTATATCACGTTTAAACCTAACTCTAGCTTTCTTTCTATGCCAAGTTGGTTCCCATATTAAAGCTTTTCAGTTATCGAGCCTCAAAGTTTGATTACAAAAATTTCTGACCAATTCAAACTGAACAAAGTTTTCTTCCCTTTCTGCCAATATTATCTGAATATTATATTCACTTTTATTCCATGTTTTAGTTAAAAGTAAATTATCCGTTTTGTTGTAATTTTCGGAGAATTGTATCTGGATGTCAATCTCTGTTATTTTTGGTAGTTGAACTGAATCAATTACAGTGATTCCTTAGTCATCGAAGTTATCCATCAATTGTAGGTAACGTTGTGTAAAATTAGTTGGCTCAGTGATTTCCTCATTTTCTCCCACTGTAAGTTCACAATTGGGTTGCAAGCATAATTCCTGTGTCTCTTTAAATTGTATATCTTGATGTACAGAGGCCTGTTCAGGATTACTCTGCTCTTCCTCTATTGTTCCTTGTTCTATGACTTGATTCATTATTGGAGGATCAATTTGAGGTTCCAGAGTAGCATCTTTATGTTTTCTCCAAGGTTTCAAATAAGTCTTCTGTAAATTCTAAAAAAATTTCCAGTATTAAATCATAGTCAAGGTGTGGGTAACTTTCTTCCATTTTGGTGGTAGACTAGCCTATTCCTTTATTAGAGACTGTATTTGAAAAAGATACACAAATGTCCACCTCCAAAAGTCTAATGGCCAGCTTCACCACCCAGCTGTCAAGTTAGCTTTTCTCTTCTATTATCATATGAAAGTCCAAATAACCAAGAGAAGTACAGTTGCAATGTCACTTTTCACCACCAGATGTCCTCAGTGGACTGTAAAGTCCTTTTTCCAAGTTAAAGAAGTTAAAGAAGAAGAAGAAAAAGATTTTTCTCTTTCTTTAAAAAGTTAAGGTGTCTCCAGCATTATAAAAATTGAAGGTAACAATGTCCCCTTTTTCTTCTTTTCCCCTAAATATCCCCCCCAAGAAAAGTCCAATAGTAAAAAAACCAAGCAGAAAAACAAAAAATTATTAATTTCTTTTCTTTTTAGTTCTTTTTCCCATATAGGCAGCCACCACTTTCTGAGAAAAGGGAAATAGTCAACAACTCTTTACAGGAAAGTAATCAGGACAGCGAGAGAAGAGAAAGGTCTCACCCGGATTCACCACAGTGGTTCTTCATGTTAGGTAGTCTTTTGACTTGCGGTTGGTGATCGGCCATTTTACTGGCTGATCTTCTTCTCCGTCGGCCCTCAGAGTTAGCTTGGACAGCTGGAGGAGCCGCTGCTCCTCCACAACCAAGCAAAGCCTCCTTGACAGTAGTTGCGCCCTCCAAGGCGACTTTCGACCCACATAAGGGTCTACTGACGGAGGGAAGCTAGCTGACGAAGAGAAGGATCTC